AATCAAATGAAACTAATATCAAAAATAATATGTATGTACAAAAATAAAAAATATAAATAAACAATAAAATGAAAAATAAAATGATATTAATTATTTAAAATAATAATTGTGGTATGAAAAAAAATTAGAAAAAATTTAGTAAAATAAAATATATTGATGTCAACATTGATACTAAAAAAATTCTTAAATAATTTTAAAATCGGATAAAATAAAATAATATATAAATAAAAAATAAAATAAAATAAATAAAATAATAAAACCTGCAATATCATATGACAAATTTTTAAATGAATTAATTTTTATAATATATAACACTTAAAAAGTAAAATTTATTAATGCAGCTACTAAAACGCATAGTAATATATCTCTATTAAGTATTCTTAAATAATACACTGAAAAAAACTGTAAAAAACTGTAGCTAAATCTACTCATAAGATGGTTTGAGGTTGTCCGCTCAAAAGATGGATGAAAAAATATGAAATACTATTTATAAAAAAAATAATTTGAAAAAAGTCGACTATAGACCACTAATTACTTAATTAACAATAAGTTAATTTAAAGTAATTTACTAAATAACTAGATTTCATATAGCTAAGAGAAAACTTTAAGGTACGATTAGATGCTCAAACTAGGTACAAGGTTCAAGTTGTTATAGTGATTCTTACGGTGTATAAAGGGTTTCAATCAGTATGTGAAAATCTTAGCAAACAGTTGAAACTAAAAGAATAATTTAATATAAAATAAAAATATATAATAATTTATATAATTTATATAATTATAATTTATATAATAATTTATATATAATTATTTCTTTATTTATGTACCAATTTTCATACACTATGTAAACAAGAAAATATTCTTCTCAGAATAATTTATTTTTTTTTTTTTTTGGATTTAATATGAAATGATATATAAGGAGTATTCACAATCTCGAGTAATTAGCGCGGTAATCGATTAACAGATGTGTACACGAAGTGCATTTTGTTGTTGCCGCTTTGCAGTGTAACCGCATGTTACTCGGTTACTAAGCCCATTGCTTCAGTTCGTGAATACCCTTGTAATTTTATTTCAGTGAATACATCTTATATCTCTTATGGAAAGCCATGAGTACCAAATATTGTACCTATTCATGCTTATAATTTTTTATTATTTGAATTTAAACGATGCCACACATAATTATTATGTTCCTTTTTAATATTAATTGATTATTTTTAACGAATTTAATAATAACTATGTGTGTTATACTTTTTACGAAATCGCGTATAATTTCAGTTTCCTGTAAATAACTAGAAAAATATTTATTTGAATTTGACATTCTCACGACTCATATTTTTCAAAAATATCAATTTACTTCGTAAATCACATGAATCCATTTCAACAATTGAAGTTGATACTTAATATTGGCAAAATAATAATAATTTTATCTATAATAATGATACCCTCAACAAAAATGTTAATTATCCTTGATCAATATTCATCTATTTCGCAACACATCTTTCAATACATACAGTTCATACTGACAGTGCAACCAATACACAAAAGAAACTTCACTCAATAAGAATGTGATCACGTCCCGCATTCCAATCGCACATTATGTGCTAACTACTTCTTTAAACATACTTTGTTGATTGAATGACCCTATAAAGAAGCTATATTTTTATTGACGATTTATGTTAGAAATAAAAAAAAAAATTAAAAAAAATAAATCTATATCTTTTCTTGATTTCTTGATTACATTGCATTGATCTATAATTAAATAAAATGTTTGGTCTATAACTTGGAAGACAACTGATACGATATACACATACAAAATGCATTTATTATATTATTTTTTTATTAATATATAAAATGTATAAAATGTTTATTTTTTTTTTATTCTAAATAAAATCAGTAAAGCAACCCAAAACGATAAAAACAATTTTATACCAAAAAAACTTATTTTGGAAATATTTGAGAACTTCACAAATCAAAATATTTGTAAATTTAAAAATAAAAAAAAACTACTTTGTTCAATCGCATAATATCAAAAATAAATTAATTTACAGATATAAAAAATATATAAAAAATAAAAAAAGTAAGAATTATATTAAATTCTATAAATCTATGTATATATAAAAAAGATATTAACATATATTAATTATACTAAAAGTGAATATGTATACATTTATATTGATAAATAACCTGATACATTATATACAATTTTACATTTCCAACTTCTAAGTGTCTACAAAATGTGTGTAATTTAACAATAAATAAACAAATAAATAACTAAGTAAATTGTTTAATAACGAAGTGATGAGTATTATATACTATAAGGCAAGTATGTGAGCAAAGGTAATACGAAAAGCCTAAAACTGTTAATTATATATAATATACTTTATATATATAATATATATTATACTATATATGTTTTACTATACTATATACACATATGCTGTATATATGCTATACTATAGATATAGCTCAACAAAAATGCTGTATCATCTATAGTATAGAGTATTTTTTTAACTCCATGAGAACTATCGACATCAATAACTATAGTTTGACAACTGAGAATGTCAAACGGTGTTGACATTTCTGTTCAGTAAGGATTGTCAATTCATCATGAATCATTAAACGCTAGAACAACGATTCCAAATTATGAAAATTTATTTTGGAAAAAATAATTCCGTCAACATAATCGGCCTAGATGGTTACATCAATAAGCATAACTGCTATATATGGAGCGAAAACAATATTCAAACCGTTAATGAATCACCATTACATTCTTTATAGCGGCATTATCGGTCCTTATTTCTTTCGAAATGAGGAAAGAACTGTCATTACGGTGAGTGGCGAGCACTATCGAGCCACGCTAACTAAATTTTTGTTTCCAAAAATTATTTAGTTAAACAACGACGATATTTGGCATCTGGTTCCAACGAGAAGGCTCAACTTACTATACAGCGCTCTTAACAAACAATTTATTGCGAAATCAATTAGGCAAATACTTTTTTCCAGAAGTAATCCTGTTACTTGCCCCCTCGTTGAGCTATATTTAGTCATTGGTTTATAACAACAAACCAGTAATTTTTAAAGCATTGGAAGCCAATGTTTATACCACCACTGACATCATACGGCCATATGTATTGCAAAAAATAGACTGAACAATAAAAGACAGTCAAAAATTGGACAGATCTAATGGATCTGAAAAAAAATACTTTACTTAAAAAAATTATGCTATCGAATAGGAATAATCTGTAAGCTCAAGCTCTACTATAGCTTTAGTTTGGAAATCTTCAATTTGTACCTTTTGGGCTAGAATAATATTATATTCATCCCAAAAAAAATTCGCTGAAATTTTGTTCTAATCCAACTTGATGCTTTTAATGCCTTCTAAAGATCAAAAGACCGCCAATAGACCTTATCATTCCAAAATCTCTTTTCAACTCCATATCATATTGGCTTAATTACTATCAATAGGTTCTTAGGGTTGTAACAAATACTTCCACTATTGTAGAGAACAGTTGAGAAGATCTTGCATTGGAAAGCATGTGAACAAACTTGAAAACCTATGGTGATCTTATATCATAGAAGTTTTGAAAAGAAGACATATGTTTTCTTAGGGTGGGAATAATAAATTCATTCAAAACTTCATCATTACTAATTTATTTTTATTTTATTCATTTTGCATTCATTTATAATTTAATCAATTTATTCATTACATATTTATATAATAAAACATGACTTTAATTTTAAAACAAATAATTTTGCATTATATTTTTATATATTTTTAAGGCAATAGAAGGGCGCAATAGATTATATATCTTTTAAATTATTGTACTAATTATTTACAATTCACGTCAAATAAATCTTTTCAATATATGAAAGGCTTTATCGTCAGTGACAAGCCCATCCCCAAAGATAATGTACAGTCGATGTGTTGAGAATATATTAAGGTGAAAAATCTTAGCAATTTCCAGAATATCGTAGAATTATCTCGTATTTAATGAATGATTACTTAAAAGTTATTTAATTCTAGAAAGCCTTGAAAAAATACGTTCTAATTTTCAGGATCGATACGAACAATCAAGAACTCGAATCTTAATTGATATCTGTGTTATGATATTTTGTAGTGTGTAGTGATTATTAAGTAATAGATCACTTTTTAAGATTTATATATTCCCCTATATCTTGGCTTCTTTCCAATAATGCTATTTCGTAGCTGTCGTATACCTGGTTGAGTGAAGCTGCTAGTAATACTGGCTTTTCTATCTTCGTACCGGTTTGGAATAGTGTTTATTTGCATATAATTCCTCTCAAGGGAATTGTTAGTTGTCATCATCGATTCAGTGAGTCCTTTTGAATGGATGTTGTGCACTTCATGGGCAATCTTTGATACCAGTTTTCAGTATTAGAGGAAGGCTATATCATCTTTTTTTTTGTCTAATAAGAATAATTTCTCTTAGGATTCATGCATAACTCTAATTATCTTAGATCTCTTGAACAATTCTGTTGACAATATTACAAGAGATTCACAAGCGCATATATTCAATAAATGAGGTTTTGAGGTTCCTTTACGAGTAGAATATATTCAATACATGACGTTTTGAAGTTCTTTTCCGGGTGAATATATTGAATACATGAGGTTCTGGTGTTATTGTCCGAATGGATGTATTGAATACATGAGGTTTCTTTCAGAGTGGATATATGCAAAAAATTTAGTTGTGAGGTTCCTTGCCGAAATTGAAATTCTGATCAATTTTAAATTTAATGTTATTCAAAATTCCAGCTCGGAACTAACATAACCTCAAAGTGTGATGTATGGATTGAAATATATTTGTTTTTCCATTTGAAATATCTTCTATATTTTAATCACGCTATATAATTCATTCTTTAACAAATATTCACGACACTAAAATTCGAAACGTTTAGTTTTTAATATACCGAATACCATATATTATCAAAAATATGATGGATTCTCCAAAGCTTTATTTGCTTAAAGTCAGTTCTTAATGCAGTCATGTTTTGTAACTGGCGAATTTGATGTCAAAATTAATAAATTGATGCTCATCAATCATTTTTGGATCACTCGCTACAAAAACGTTCAAGTAACGTTTGAATTCCTCTTCTCTGCTTGCCTCCATAATAGCTTGTTTATTCGCATATAAGCAGCCGAGGTAATCTCCGTTAGGCTTTAGAGATATATTGATGTGATATAAACCATTTTTTTGCAGTGTAGTCGTGAGTATCACATTTTTTTTGTTATGATTACTTGTAAGTTTTTGCAATTCACTTGTTAAGAATTTCTTAATCACTGCTTCATATGCATTTAAGCAATGAAAACAGAAACTGGATTTAGCATTAAGATGCTGTGAATCACTATCGAATTCCTGAAGATCCAAGCCATTCATTGTCAAAGGACATGTTTTATTAATCGCAACCGCGACATCCGAATATGATATTTCTGGTTCTACTTCAGAGCATATTTGTTCTTCTTCACTTGGTGGAATGTAAGGGCATTGTACTATCTGTTCATCACAGGTTCCCTCAAATTCATTGTGAGTTTCCACCGGCTCCATATTTGCATTACATATAACTGGTTCTTGACGTGGTGGACTATATGGACATTGTACTTTTTGTACATCACGCTTGACTTCACATTCCCTCTCATCCTCCACTTGCGTACACGCATCAGCACAGGTTTTTGGCGGTTCAGAGCAGATAGGTTTTTTTTCACATGCTGGAGTATAATCACATCTTACTTTTTCTTTATGGCACTTGTCCTGATATTTCATGGATGGAGGACACGTATTATTACACACGCTATCCACACTAGATGTTCCCGATGATGAAAAAGAACTCAGTGATTGACTCATCTTTACGCATCGTTTTGCTGATTTCGGTGTACGTCTTGGTTTACATCGATCTCGCATTGGAGTCTGCGTTTCTGAATGTCTAAAGCTTTTACAAGGCGTTTTGATGGGTGATACATTGCACCGTGGAGGAGATTTAGGTGCACATCTTGGTGTACACGGTTTTTTTACGGGTGTACTACAAACTGGTTTTTTCTTTAGAATAGTTTTAATGGATCGAAAACGGGAGTGAGCAGATGGAGAAGCAAATGGTGATACCCTTGATTTTTTCTTCTTTTCAATATCGCAACTATACGGTTCAATTGTATCACATACAAAGCTGCACTCATCATCGATAATATCTGTGTCGCTTGAATAATCTTCAAAAGCAGTAACACATGTATTACTTCTATCCTCCGATTCATCTGAGTAATATGAATCAGCTGTATCATATCCACATTCTGTGTCGGTAGAATCACTGGTATAAGAGTTATCACATGTATCATCATCAGTTTCCGAAGATGTATCGTCAGAAGTATCACTCATTTGTCCGTTACAACAAGTATTCGATTTGTCTCTCTTTTTACAATAGAAATGGACGTCTACAACTGACTCATCACTATAAACAGTGTCTACACTGCAATCTGAGCCAATAGTTGCCAATTGCAATGCAGCTCTATATTTTTTTTGTTTCTTTAAATCGTGTTTGATATGCTCGAGTTCTTGTCGCAACTCAGACATGTCGTTTTCACTGTTTTCACAACTAATATTACATTTCGGACTCCGTGCAACTGGTCTCGGACATGTTCTGGTTTTTGGAGTTCTATTTTTACACGATTCCGAACGCGGGGATTTCTTTGGACTATCATATTCATTTGCAAGTCTCCTCGCATGATATGTTCTGGGTAGTGTTCTGTGAGGTGTTGTTGCGGATGTGCTGGGCGGTGTTCTAGGGGGTGATCTGGATGGGGTTCTGGACGGTGTTCTAGAAGTCGTTTTTGGAGATGTTCTAGTGTTCGGACTGGGTGATGTTTTGGAAGGTGTTTTGGCTGGTGTTCTGGAAGGCATTGTTTGATGTGTCCTTTTATGTGATGGACTTCGTTTAGGAGTTTGTCTAGCATTCGTACTGCTTGGGCTATTATTTTCGTGCATAGGTCTGGACGATCCACTACCCATTTATAAAATTTATAATTAATTTGAACAATACATCTTCTTTGCAATTTTGAATATCTTGAAATTATATTTTTAATCAATTTGAAATAAAATATTTTTTTGAAGTATTACTCTAATGCAACTTCTTTATACAAAATGGAGTTCAAATCATAACGTTGAAGGTACATATAATTTTAAAGTTTAATTTTTATAACCAAAATTGGCTATTAATTAAGCAAAGATCAAATGGATCCGTTCATTGAAATAGAAACTGTCATTTTAATTAATATATTTAAATACCGTTATATTAACTATTGTCGCTAGTCAGTTTCAGTGAGTTACCAGTATATAATATTAAGAAATTAGTGTAAGTCAAGCACGTCTTTGTGTCAGTTGAGTAATGAACACTGACTTTGAGCTTCAAATTTGGCAGGGTACAAGTTTAACCTTCGGTACTTACTTCCTTAAAAAATTGTTAACGAATAAATTAAATATGAGATATTTCCAAAAACATCACTAATGACGGGTTTTCAGTATTACTCGAAACAGCTATATGGTCAGCCAAAAATTCATTTCATTAAAAATTAAAAAAATTTTGTTGTTGCAAGTTACTACTGTTCGAAACCTCAGTCTTAAGTAATTAATAAATAATATTATATTTTATATTCCTAGCGTCATAATTTATAGCAGCCTTTCAGCACAGAAATAGCCTGTCTAGCTGATGCTTACTATAAAATCCGGCAGAAAGAAATGTCCGCGTAGGCTCTTTATTTGATATATCCTAAACGTTAAGCCACACAACCCACTCACCGGAGTTCACAAGCTTAATGTTTGTGAATGCAACTGCTTTGAGGTAGATCACATACAGTTAATGAGTGTAGAGTCTGCAAAATCGATCTCTCTTACAGATGTGCTTAACAATTCTCAGTAGAACTTTTCTTTCGAACTTGGCTAAAAAGTCAGAATGTTTTTTGCTTAGCACTCAACCGCACCTGGGTGTCTATAAGACTTTTTTCTTATACAGCTGTAGCGTGATTGTTACAGTAAAGTTTTTGAACTTAAAGAACCTTGAAATCTTATACCTAGTTGGCTTTGTTGGATTTAATTAATCGCGTAGGTGTTATTTTATCCATGTTATTATCGGCTGCTACAACTGAATAAAAGTAATTAAAAGACTTTTCCACTTCAAACTCGCACCCCACTACATTCATTGTCTGACCAGTTGTTGATGTTCTTATAACAGACGATGCCACCATATATCATCTCTTTCTTGCACTGATGTCCAAAATCCTAGTCTTTGATGCTCTGATTTAAATCTCCGGAAGACGTCAATGTTAATGCAAATATTTACAAAAACGCAAATATTTAACTAGACTTAGTTACAATAGTCCCAATTGTTGAAGTATTAAAATTTCGGACTGCTCTCTCCAACACCAAGTTTCCTTTAAAACTTATTCAAAATGGTACTAGAGGGCAGCTCATATTTCTGAGATGTAAACTTTCTATTAAATACTCTGGAAATCAATAATTTTTTTTATATAAATTTGCATAAATTAGTCAATTAAGTTTAAATAATATTTTATTAATACCATAAAATGTTAAATGTATGTATGTTTTTAAATATTGCCTGAATGATTATTTATTTTATAATTTTCACGCAAGTAATGGTTTGTGTCATGACTTAAACAGTTTGATAGTCACTACGACAGTACAAAACAGCAGTGGCGAAATAAGTCATTTCTATAAAATATATTACTTGTTTGAACGGAAAGAAATTGCTGCAAAAATAAGGTGACCAGATAACAAACAATTTAGTAAATAATATTATTTATATAAAATTATGAAAAATTAGTATACATGGTTTTTATAAAAATAGTTAATTAATATATAAATTGTTATTTATTTTCTTTAACATAAATATATAAAAAAACAATTTTTAAATTTTTTGCTTACATTTGTTCAAAAAATTAATTATATGGCATGTATTATATATATATCATACTTTTAAGTGGCGTATATAAGTCAACACTGTTTCAGTGATATCTATCAAATAGAACTGTCATCCAAGACATTATAATGGCTTATATTATATTAGAAATTTTCCTTATGAAGGTAAAAGCAAATTTGCCAAAATACATATAGAAATATATTCGATTGAAGTAAAAGCTAAAATACTTAAATACAAAACCGACTTTATTATAATGGCGTTTTCGATTGGTAAATCTGGATCCAATCTAGATTTATTCTTGATTTGTTAAATTTTGTTACCCAAACAACTTATATTTTTTATAAATACAATCACATCTTATTTGTCTTTTCATATAAAACTGGTTTTTAATAATTTCGGACTAATCTTGCTACTCTGGAACATTATATGAAGTGTTATAAATTAGTCTCAAGTGTTATAAATTAATCTCGAATGCTTCACAGATTTACCAATCGAAAATGAAATGTGCCCTTAAAGGCAAAGCTCGATTAAAAAAGTTACCAGATTTACCAATCAAAAACGGCATAAGTTTAATTTATGATACGCAATTTTATAATATGACAGAACTTTAACTGGCAACATTGTTGGGTTAATAATAGTTCAGCTGCAATAGTACTCAACAAGAGGCCACGCAGTGAACGCAATAAAAGTGCTGGCTGCTAGTTACTTCATATACGGATCTACACAGAAAATGAAAAGTTAAACATAGTAGTGGTGGTAGCAGTAATAAAAGTTTATTTTTCAATGCTGTTTAATAGGTTACAGTCAGTCTTATTACAGATTTCATAGAGCTAGTTTTTTAACAAATTAAGACACAACTCTATTTTTTAAATTTATTTTTTCCCTTCTTTAGTTCTAGTCGTAATAAAATGAGTTATCGCCACCCTCGAGACAATTCTCACACATATAATTGAAATGGAGTTGTTTATTTATCCAATTAAGACTTATGTCTTTAGGTATTGTATGTTTTCGATCTTTAATCTGGTTCTTAAGTTTCGCCTCTTCTATTTGTGTAAACAAATCGTCTAGTTTTTTCCCTGCATTTACAGACTTAGCAGCATTTACCATTGGTTTGTAGAGTTCTTTAAAATCCAGATAAGTACAATTTGTACCGACATTTTTGTATGAAGTCTCCATTTTGTCTTTATTTATTATATGGAATAGTTTGTCATTGTTCATTATTCTATTTTTTTCTAGATAACTTTTAACCCCAGCATGATGTGTACAGCAAAACAAGGATTTCTTTGCTTTATTGACTTTCAATCCACTATTGGTAGTATCATACTCAGAATCAGAACTTGAAGGTAAGGATTCGAATGGGTTTTTATTCAGTACTTGACGCAATTTAAGTTTCAGTTTAAATGCGCTCTTTTCCAGATTTAACCTTTTGTCTGCTGACGAGAAGCGATATTTTGACTTCATGCCTTTCAACTATAAAACAAAAAATAATTATTAAAACTATTATTAAATTTACTTTGGTGTTAAATCACCTTTCGTTTTGCTTTATCAGCCTTTTCCATAGCTGCAAACAATGTGTTTAAATACTCAATCGCTCTTGGCGATTCTATGTTATCTTCTTCATTTACTTCTTTATTCCTGAATTCTGTTTTATCGTCACTGAGCATTGCGTCACTTTTGTTCAGTGATCCTGTGGGGTCAATATAAATCTTTTCAAGAATATTCATTTTCTCAGAGTCTATTTCAGTTGCGAAGAGTTTTTTTTCATCAATGTGTTTGTCTCTTTCATTTACTGTTCCTGAGAATTCAATGTAATCGTTTTTATATACTTCTTCATCCTCTATTTCAGATACATAGAGTTTTTCATTTCCGATGTTTTCATCGGTTTCATCACTTTCCAATTCTATGTTATAATCTCGTTGAACTTTCTTCTTCGCAAACTTTGTTTTAGCTGCAAGGAAACTGCTTTTTTCGATGTTTGGAAAATTTACAGCATTCTTTTTGATCACATCCTCAATTTCATTAACTTCTCTTAGCGATTCTACATTATCACTTTTAAGTATACCCTCTGTTTTAAGTGCGTGGAGTTTTTCTCTTGCGATGTTTTGAATATTTGAAACATCTTTTGCAACTACTTCATCATTTTTGTCAACTACTCTCGGCGGTTCTTTGCAAAATTCTCTATAAACTTTCTTCTCCGTGGATTCTATTTTAGGTCCGAGGAAACTGCTTTCTTCGATGTTTTGAAAATGTACCGTATTTTTTCTGACAACTTCGTCAATTTCATTAACTTCTCTTAGCGATTCTATGTTATGTTTTTTAAGAATACCCTTATTTTTAGACTCTATTTTAGGTGCGTGGAGTTTTTCTCCTGTGATGTTCTGAATATTTGAAATATTTTTTGCAACTACTTCATCATTTTTCTCAACTACTCTCGGCGGTTCTTTGCAAAATTCTCTATAAACTTTCTTCTTCATGGATTCAATTTTCGGTCCGAGGAAACTGCATTTTTCGATGTTTTCAAACTTTACCATATTTTTTCTGATCACTTCGTCAATTTCATTAACTTCTCTTGGCGATTCTATGTTATTTCGTTTTACAGTATCTTTATTTTTAAACCTTTTTTTAGGTGCGTAAATACTGTTTTTTGCGATGTCCTCAATATTAACTAAATTTTTGCGGATCTCTCTATCGCTTTTGTTGACTTGTTCTGGCGATTCTATGTAATTTGTTAGATGAACTTCCAAATCCTTAAACTCTGTTTTAGGTTCATAGGGATTATTTTTTGCCATGTCATGAATATTTATTAAATTTTTGCTCAACACATCAGCACTTTGATTAACTACTCTTGACGACTTTATATCGTTGTTTCGGGGAACTTTTTTACTTTCGAACTTAGTCTTAGATACGTTCAGGCTGTTCTTTGCGATGTTTTGAATATTTGACATATTATTATTAAACACTTCCTCATTTTCATTGACTGTCGCTAGAAGAGTTTTCACAACATCTATACTATCCTGTAAATTACTACTCTCTAACTGTTTCCTAGCCTGCATCAAGGCACTGTTTAGGTTTGCAGTTGCTTCATTCAATTTCTTCATTGCCAGAATATCTTTAACATAAGGAACATGCGTTTTCATCGAAATGTAAGGATTGACAAAAGTTGAACTTGCGTCATCACAGCTTTTATCTTTGAACATTGCCTGTCTTGCTGTAGTCTGGGCAGTCTTCCGGTTCTTCGGTAAACCTGCGTGGTATATTGTACTCTCAGATGTCGGAACTTCAACGGGTCTTGTGAGTGGAACTGGTTTATCACTTACATGTGTCTCCGATACGTTACCTTGGCCGGTTTTTGCATCTACCATTGTAGATTGTTTTTGTCGATGATTAGTAAGTTTAGCATATACCCTATGTTTTCCATTTCTAGCATTATGTTTATCATAAGGATTGAAGGAATTCAGAAATGCAAATGAATCCTCATCATTGTCAATAATTATGGTCTTCTTAGCTTTTGACATATTTTAGTTGTGTTTCTAGTGGTTTAGCTTTAATTTAAAAATTTTTTCAACTCAACTATTAAAAAATTTATTATGATGAAAAAAATACTTTAAAATTGAAGAAAAATATACGAATAACTTTTAAAAGCACAAAAAACACGACAAGAAATATTGCCTTCAAATATGATTTTTAAAATGACAAAGAATTTTTTTTTAAAGACAAGAAGACATACATTCACAATAGATTGTCAACACTAACTTACCAAAATAGCCACCAGAGTGTAGCTCACTTATTTTTGTTTAAACTCTCGCGCGAAGTATTTTTTGCTCTCGCACTTTAGTTTCACAATTAAAATATAAGAAATTTATTTTGTGGTCCAAAAAAACTGCTTACAATTAATAACAAAAATAAACATTTTTGAAACACAGCAATAAAAATTATTCACATTTAGAAAATTTTTATATAACTTTCAATCTATATTTAATATTTTTCAAAGCATGCTTAGATTTGTGCAAAGACTAAAGAGCATATGAAGAAGTGGCTAAAAGCACAGTAGTGGCGAAAAAAATGCAAACAGGCATTATAAAAAAATATTTTTAGTTGTTTGTCTTGATTTCACTTTCTGTTAATAATTAATAATATGTTTATTTTTTTTTTTCTTTTTAAAGGTTTTATGTAGCTTTTATTAAAAACATTATTTTTTAAATACACATATAGTTGTTTATATAATTTTTCCATCTAAATTTGCAAACGTTTTAATTGAACTGACTTAAAGTATATTAACACTGTCTTATTTAGACACTTGTTCATTTATATAAATGAGTGAACGTTCACATTATATTGAATTCATTAATGCAGCTGATAGAACTTTTATAAACTTTTACAAACTTTACTTAATAATGCAGATATATTTGACATATCATATCATTTATATGCATTTTATGTATCAAATTCATATTCAATTAATAAGAACATAGATTTTATTAAATACTTACTTCATCAATGCTTTTGCTTGCAGTTCAGCTGTTGTTTGTTTCCATTTTATATGTGAAACATATGACAAATATTTCAAACTTTGGTGATTTCTCTTGTGGGATATTTAGTTTTAGGGTTACGTTCGACATTTTTCACCTTAAATGAGCTAATTTATTGATAATGAGCTCATTTATATAAAAGATTTTTATATTAGGTTAATTAATTTTAGGCTACAGTTGCTAACTAAAAGCAAGATCTTATATTAATTATGCTACATATCAGCAGTTTATTGAGCCCCCATAGTTTCTATTAGAGACCCAAAAAAATAACGTTTTCACTACTACAAATGAATTCAAAAATCATATTAATATATTTTTTCTTTTCAAAATAGATTTCTTTTGAGATAATAAGTTAAAATTATTAACATAATGTATTAAATTAATTTTTAAAGTTCGTTTTAACTAAAGAAACTAAATTCTTAATACGAGTATATACTATTGTTTTCAATATAGAAGTTTTTAACAAACAGTAGTAGAATAGCAACAACAAAATTTTTTTTATTTAAAAAATTTTTTTTTTATATAAATAAAAATTGTTTTGAATTTTATTTTAATTGTATATAAAAATAATAATTAAATATAATAATACAGCTGATAGCTTTGTAGTGCTGGTAAGGCTTTTGTAAAAATAGGATCTCATAACCTTAAAAAACTTACATCAAAGAGTCATACTAGATGCTATAAGTCAGTGGGTTCTCTATTTGTAATTCTATTTATTAAAAGGTTATTTTTTTTAGTCATTTATAGATGTTCCATTTAGATACTTTAAAAATGAAGAGTATTTATTTAAAATATATATTTTATAACATATTATAATATATATTACATGTTACAAAATTCAAATATATATATATAAAATAATTAAATGTTTTAATGACCAAAAGAAATTATTTAAAAATAATTAATTCACGGGCTATTGGTCAGTTATTAAATAATGATATTTTTTTTAAAAAAAAAATTTATTATTTAGTTTTATAAAATTTTTATTGTCCAATATTTCGACTATAATCTATAGTCATCATCGGGGAACTATACATATACATATGTATAGTTCCCCATATACATATTGTCAAGTTATTAAATATCATTATTTAATAACTGACCAATTAGCACGTGAATTCATTATTTTTATATATAAAATATAAAATATTTATATATTAAATATATACTATATCTATATATATTTTCACATATTAGCTTTCAATAAACTTCAAAGTCGGTTAACGTTTCAATTGATTGATATAAAGAATACTAATAAAATCATATTTTTTATTTTAGTTTATATTTTATATGCAAATGCTATTTCAGTAATTCGATGTGATCTACTCGTGAACATTTCACCTGAATCTTGATGAAATTTTACTGATATATTAAAAGTTTATGAAAAAAAAAAATTGTAACTGAAAAAGCCAAAAGCAATTTTCAAAATTCAATAAATATTTGAAGAGCAATGAAATGCAAAATAAAAAAAAAATATTTTTTATTGAATTTTATTTTCTATTTTCTCTTCTCAGTAAAGATTTAACAATTTTTATTTCACATTTTTAATATTTGAAATTTATTTGAGTTTCGCAAGCTTGCCCTGCTCGGCAACGCTGTGCTTCTTGTGCTCCTCCAAGTGTTCCGTTGGCAATGAGTCCACTGAACTAGAAGTAGAGCGGTGTTTCGATTTGCTGCTTGAACTTGAGCTGCGACTAGAATTCTTAGGATACTTAACGGGTTTCTCATTGACCGAACATCGCAGTATGAAACGTATTTCATCCATAAGTTCAGCTTTGAAGGATACCTTGCCGTGTCGAATAAGCGTCGGAATAGGAACAAAAACAAAGAAGAAATAATATAAAATCGAAATATTTTACTTTGTTCAAGTTGTGAACTTAGTGAAGAGCGAGAGGTGGGGGTGGTTGTGGGGGGAGGCATATAAAGTGAGGTGAATGAATGAATGTGTGTAAGTTTTATACAGGATGCAGGATAACATTGAGTATCGATGGATGTTAGACAGGCAGACAAGCAGACAGACAGACAGACAGACAGACAGAGAGGCCAAGCAAAGTGCCAGTCATAAAGCAAAAATATTTCAAAGTTACAGAAACAAATTTTATAAATTCGAAATAAATTCAATGAATTTGATGCAGAATTTCAATATTTCAACATGAAAGCAATCAAATTTAAGCGAAAATGGAAAAAAAATTTCATTATATCAAGGAGAAGAACAAACACAAAAAAAAAACCACTGAATGAAGAGTGAACATGTGTGTCAAGCGTGTTACACTGGGAATAATTTTTTATGTCAACTTTTTATTTTAATTTTTTTTTGTTTTTTTTTAGTTCACTTTTTTTAAATTCAGTTATTTTTTTCATTTATTGTTTTTTTTTTTTTGTTGAAATTCAGTTAATTTTTTATTATTGTATTCTGTCTGCGTGGGATGTGAAATTTGCATGCGGTAGTTGTGTTTGCTAACGCGTTACTGCATAATACCTTGTTGCTGCGTGCGGTGCTGTAAACACTCCACAGCCACTCTAAAATCCCATAGACACTGGCTAAGGCACTGCCAACGACTAAAACCAAATATACGCCACCCAAATTAGGAAAGCCCAACCCTTTGGCACCTTCCGAGCTCTTGCCTTGCTGTTGGTTTTGGCAAGCGTTGATGAAGTCATACAAAGTCACCAGAGAAGCCAGAAAAGTGCATGGGAAAATGGAAGCGGGCATCACAATTGTTGACATTCAACGGCATTTGTGCAGGTGGAAGGATTTTTGTGTGTATTTTTTGTTTTTTTGAATTGTTTAAAAAATTCAGGAATTAAGACCAGAAATATTAATAAATCACAACAAAATAACAAAAATGTGCTTTAACGCCACTATGGGAACTAAAGCCATTTCTCACATAACAAAATTTATATAATAAATCATAATATATAAAAAATAAATTTTTTTCACTAACATATATCTATAAATAAAAATATTAAAAAAAAATTTTTCGAGCTATTTACATATACTAAACTATTTATTAAAATTATATTTAATTAAATTTATTGTTGCATGTGCCTTGTGTTTTTATTGAGATATGGTGGGGTGCACACTTTAATCTCTTGTGATATTTACACGTTTTTTTTTTGGGTAAATAGGTTGACTTATAGCATGTTCCCACTGCAGTTAAATCAATTAATATTAATCAAATTATGATTTGTTTGTTTCCACTAACTTAAGTTGATTTATGCGTATGAAAGAGCTTCTATGAGACAAAACATTCTGTGAAGGTAGTAGGAGAGTTTTTATTTCTTCACATTTTAGTTGATAACAAACTAAAATAAATATTTTTTGTTAAATCATATATGATATTAAATAATAATATCAAATATATATTTAATATATAAACTCATTTACATGTTTTTATATATAAATCAGATATTTTATTAATAAACACAAACATTTTAAAATATGTTTACTTCTTGTTTGTTGGACTTGTTTGTTTTTTTTTATTTACATTTTGTTTTATAGGTTAAATATATCAAATTTCGAAAATTTACGTTTGCATTCAATATTTTTTCTAGATTTATTCTTAACTACGTTAAAAACCATAAAAGCTCTTTGCATGGTTAATCAAATTTTATTAAACATTGTTTCCACTGCTTACTTAGTAAGTTACTTAAGTGTCTTCAAATTTTGTCACTTCCAGTAACATAAGTTACTTATTGCATGTGAAAAAGGTTTCATCTGTCAGAAAGTTCCTTGAAAATTCTATGAAAACTTCACACAAGAAATTAAGTACATAATTAATATATTAAAGCATTTATATATTTATATTTTACAAATGTATTACATATGCAATTAATAAATATAAAGATTTGAATTAAATACTTACTTTCTCAGCGCGTTTGTTTCAAATATTAGAAATTTCCTTTGAGGAGAATTTATTTTTAAGCGTTGCATTCGAATTTTTTGAATGAATTTTTCTTACTTTATTTTTAAGTAAGTTAAAAAGCACTGAAGCTTTTGTTTGTTAAACGAAATTTACTTAATAAGTTACACTTACTAAGTAACCAGTGGAAATATACTATTGGCGACCTTAAGCAAATAAACTGCTTTAACAAAATCAGCGGGAACATGTTATTATATACATCGTATTTTTTTTTTGTGTGTATACCTTATACTCATCACAACGTTGTTTTATACCCAGTAACATTTCCAAAATTGCAACAAATATTCCAAATATGGAACCAACAATTAACACCAAATAGACACCACCCAAATTACTTATTTCTAAGGCGAGTGCACTGCTTTCACCTTTCGTATCCTTAGAATAATTTTATTTTAAATTTAATAGCTCAGATTCGTTAGTTTATCAACTTTAAAAATTTTAACAAATTGCGTATTAAATAAAATACTAAACTTACCGTACAGGCACCACCACCACGTTTCTCCTGCCACCACTTTGTCTTCATTTTGGATAGAACACCTTGTTCCTGCAATTCCAGAATAGCTTGACTGAGCAAATCCCGATAAGGCCAATCTAAAATTGTTTAAGTAATTGGCTTATATATATATAGTATATGAACCTAACATTATTTATACTTAACTCTTCAATAATTTAACATACATTTAATTAATTTTGTAATATTTATAAGGTATTATATACACTATTTCGTTCTATTACTTAATTCACTTCATACTCACTTTTTCTCATTGCAATACCGTATCCTTTCTCATCCAACAATGCGCCCACTTGTGTTACCTTGCAGCGTCGTTCCGTATTATATTCAACAGTTGTGGACTCCATTAAAAATGCATAATTATCATTCTCAACACGTTGGACGCCTTCGTTATTTGTCGAAGTCATAAGTTCTGGATGCTCTTTCATATACGCGAACATACGCTGATACGTAGGGTACTGAGCATCCTGTAGGAAATGAAATTGGAATTTATGGTATAAAACAATACGGGCACAATTTTAATTAAAATACAGAACTGCAGTGAACAGCTGGTAAAAACATTAATACCAACACATCGGCTCACTCGATGGAAGGTGAACACCGATGGAAGGCATCCACATATTGCGTGCGTACCTGGAAAAATGTGTATGTGCTGCCACCAACTTTGGCGCCATATTTTACGCCACCTTTATTTTCCGCTAAATCTTCTACATTATTAATGGGACTGCTTAACGATTCGATTGTAAGAAAGGCAGCCAAATTGGCTGTATACGATGAGACCAAAATCAATGTAAAGAACCACCAAGCTGAGGCGACAGCACGCGTCGATAATCCTCTATGAGCACGAAATTAGAAATAAAGCAATAAAAATTTGTGAGAGTAGGAAACACATAAAGCTTGTGTGAACATTAATTCCATGTCTTACTTGGGTGCTAATTCAGTGCCTTGTTGCAATAGTGCGCCGATGGAAAACCAGAAGCAATTCACAAAACTGAATTGATTTTCAAGTTCTGTTGGTTCTTCAATGCATGGATATGGATTATCCCATTCGGTTGGTGATATGCGACTCAATACAAACATACTTACGGACACACTTACATAGGCTATACCTAGCCACATCCATACTGCACCAGAAAATGGTGACATGAATGAGAATAGTTGTGGTGGCTCCTTCATTGGTTTACGGAAGAGAATAGCTATACCTATAAATGTAATAAAAATGGTATACGTAATGACCAAGCAAGTGGATGCTAAGCATCCATTAAAAATACATTAAATGTATTTTAGAAGCAGTTATCAGTTTTTTTTTTGTTAAATATATAATAATAATATATATACAACAATAATAATATCACTTCGACCGACTGCAAAAGCCATGTTCTTATTTAATCGTATTTTTTAACTTAATATAATACCATGTTTCCACTGGTTAAGCACTTTTGCTCATCAACGCCAGTATTGAGAATAATTTAGCATATAAGAAACTTTCATATAAATGAGCTCATTATAAATAAAACAACAGATTTAAGGCAAAAAATGTCGAATGCAACCCTTAAAATATATTTCCCACAAAGGAAATTATTAAAATTTGAAATATTTGTCATATGTTTTATATATAAATTATAAACAAACAAGCTATTTCAAATCAACTTATGCCAATGGAAACGATCAAAACTTAATTTTTTTAGCTAAAGTGGAAACATGATATACGCGTAATATATATTTGCAATAATAAAAAATAACTGATACCACGATTTTCAACATTTACAACAATAAACAGCTGATTGAGATTTATTTTAATATTCATACAATTTTCTAGAAAAAGGCAGCATCACACAGTATTAATACTAATAATAATAATATACTAATAATATACTAATAAAATACTAATAAGCAATACATTTTTATTATAATAGTTAAATAAGGGACAATTAATGTTCATTTAAATCTCTTAAATTAGCTAATGTATGTTTATTTAGATAATTAATGATCATTTATGTTTTAGTAATATTTTTAATATTAAATTTTAGTAATAGTAACATATTTACCTAGATTCATAAAAGGTATTGTGAAATCAACACCACTTTCCCGATCCGAAGTCATAGTAAGATCGGTGATACCCATATCGGCGCGCTATAAGAAAAACACTGATAAAAACAGTAATTGCTGATAAATTAAATAGAGTTCATTTAAAAGTCATTGGTTTTTTCAATTCCAATTGTAAACTGGCGTCTAAATTCCAAATTACAGTTAACCTGTTATTAGAAATTGGGGGTAATCTATGTTACATACAACTGTAACCAATAGAACTGAGTAATCAACCTATAGTCAGTAATGAAGAGCCTCCCTAAAATCATCTTTATCTTTAGGACTTTATAGACTTTAAATTATAGATTCCAGGTACTTTCTTAACATAATAACATATACCTACATATGTAATGTACTCGTGGTTAGATGCAATGGTGAGAAAAAGTAAGATTGATCACCATATATTCGTCGAAGTATTATATATCTACGGATATATTTTTAAACTTTTGTGGTCAGAATCGAAAGATGTAACTGCAGGAGGAATATGAAATAGCTAATAGTGTGTCCAAGGTAATATTTATTAATGAAAATATGATATAATATTTTGTAAAATTTATAGAGTTATGTCTAGAATTTTGGAACTCATTTCATTTTTGAATCAAAATAGTTAACACTGTTTACTTTTTTCAGACAGTTTGCATTCGTTAGAATGAATGTATCTACATTAGGAAACCATATGTATTTGAGCTCATGAAAATATACTATTCTATTACAAATACAATTCCTCATACGAAAGAAATTCTATTACATTTCCGACTGACTCCATATAACTATTCCATTAAATGGTATACTTGTTGAAAAAGTTATATTATGTCCTTATATCCTTAAGATATATATCATCTATCTGTTGTTATTCACAAGGTTTACATAAATCTTCCCGACTTTAACTCAAAAGGATTAGAATTTTGGTTTTGGAAAGTTCATTAAAAATATAAACTACAGTAATTAATTCAGAAAAAAATATTTCCCATCTTAATAAAATAGATTTTATCAATTATTTTTTGAATTTAAAGAAATATTAAATTCCATCATTTGTCATAAATGTCCTTAAAATTTTTGTGCAGTAAAACAAATACAAATTTTCCGTCTACTTCATTCATATCGATTTCCCACTTGAATGCCTGCTATTCATCATTCCTTAAATACCAGAAAAGTGAAATGCGTCAAATATCCATAAGCTCGGTGCGTTCAGAATGAATTACATTCACTGGGCGAATGGAAAGGATGCACGAGTAATGGAAGGCGAAAGGCATTAATTTTGTGAAGACCGTGAGAGGTGGAATATTTATGTTAATGACGGACATTCTATGCCGGAATTGATAACTTCATTGGATCACAATTGAAATCAATGAAACATGGAAATGAAACTCAAAGGCTAATGTCAGTTAAATAAATCTCTTAAACCGAATTTTAAATAGAAATTGAAAATGATTGAATAGCGAAACCGGGGGGGATCTTATGAAAAACTGTCAAAGAAAATTTAAAAAAAAAGATAAATATACATATATTTTCTTTTGTTTTGATTTGAAAGGCAGTACGAGACCAGCACACTCAGTTGAAAGACCATTGTGTCCAAAATATTCAAATATAGAAAAGATATAATTTTCAACGTTAGTTCATTCTTCACCTTTTCAATTATTTCAAGAATCATGCCATTCCATGTTTTAGTGATTTGATCAAGATTGCCATATTTGTTATCCTCTTGTATGCGAAATGTATAACTAAAACCCAATTTCTTGCTTAGTTCTTCAATTAATTCAATACCAAAGCCTTCGTATTGATCATTGCCTTCAAGTTTCTCTGCTGTATCCTTCAACATGCCATATGGTTCACTCTAATGATAAAAGGATACATTTTATCAAGTAAATTTATTAAATTAAAACAAAAAAACTTTATTGTGATTAAAAATAAGAATACTCACAATTGCTGTTATGACCACAAAACTTTTGTTTACCAGAGAACGTTGATCTTGTTCCACAACTATACGAGGTGCTGGACGATTTATACTAAATCCGTCATTAGTTGTCCAAGTACCAATTTTCTGTAGTCCAGAAACTGTTAATTCAACAACTTCCAGTGCGAATTCAGTACGTAGACCTTGATTATCCAATTTAATTTCACCCGAAAGTCCTTGTATATTGAACTGAATTTAAAACCCCCACCCGAAAACAAGAGTGACATTCACTTTGATTGGTAAGCATTTAATGTTTTTCTTTGACAATCGTCACTTGATACTTACCGATTTCATGTAGTTGACAAGCGTGTATCCCTTATCCCAAGTGCTGTCGTCGTTGCAGTTTAACGGTACCGCACGGAATATCACATGCTGAAATGTCTCTGCCAAAAGTTGTACGCCATCGTACACCAAAGCCATGTTGACTGTCAAAGGACATGACACTGGAAATGCACACATAAATGGAATTTTAATGTGAAGTTCGTTCTGTATGTGAGCCATGAAGTAAAGTGGACAACCATTGCAGTTGCTGATGACTTTGAAAATTTGTGAAAAAATTCTAGCTTGCGGCAATGCAGTTGAAATGTGCGAAATTTTAAGTTGAAAGTATTGGATTAATCAATTGCTTAGACCACACATTTCGATTTCATAAGTGTGAACTCATTATGCGAAAGCATATAAAATTTTCAAATTGATTTTGATTGGTATTTGATAACGCAAACATTTGGTTTACACTTAAGGATGATAAAGAGTTGCAGCCACAATAGAAATGTTTTCTTAATTTAAAAGATAACGCATTTAATGCATCCTATTTGGTAGTGAAAATTTAACTACTCGACTAATCTGATATTATATTCCCATTACCTCCATTAAAGCAGTTTATTAGATTTAGGAAGAAACTTTTGAAATATCCAACTTCGTTAAGAATAAAATAAAGGAAATCATACCAAAAATATTGTACGCAAAATTACAAAATATATTTCCCAAAAAGGAAAATTATCGAAATTTAACATATTTGACACATAAAATAAAATATAAAAAAAAAACAAACGCAATATCAAAACCTGAACCAACTCTAGACCGTACATCTAACACTCTATCAATAAGCATCTGAATAATTTTCATTAGACAACATGAACTGTTTTTTTTCAATTAGAATGTCGGCTACTTCTGACAGAAAAATCCTTGTCTAGTAACCTTACTTCGAACCAATTTGGCAAGATCATAAATAAGGTTTGGAGTCAATCTATAAATCTACAATACTACCTCAATGTGACATCACTATTTCGATTTATCTTAGCGCCACGGTAGTTATTACCAACAAGCCATTTCGCAACACAGCGGCATTTATATTAGCTACGATAGTCACGAAGACCACAGTGACAGCTTCGTGCACCGACATCGACATTAATATGCCACCACAAATATTCGATCACAGTAATCGTCACGAATGATAGGCAGCTGCAATCACAACATTTACACGACTGCAAGATAAACCGCAATATTGTTCGATGGCAACAACCAGCAACCAACCTGCAAGCTGAAGACTTTGTTTTTTTATGTTGAGGATATGGAATACTTTATGCATTGAAGAAAGTGCATAATGCTTCATAAATAACAGTAACAGCAAGTCTGATAGCATAATTTGAATTTGAGGTATACCACCAAACGTTGGAATGGGTTTGGTCGATTCTAGCAATCCTAGGAATAAACTTTAGAAATTTATGTCCAAAAAAAAGCTCAAGCACATCGGAGATAATGAAGTCCATTTTTGTCAAAGTTCTTTCTGAGTGACTCTCTCATATTTCAGTTCAGGTAGTTTGTAAACAATTTAACTGATGTATGTGTAGCTTACCATTTTGATAAGGGTCTTCCGCATCATATAAAGCTTTAGAAACTTCAAAAACATTATCATTTTCTGGTGATATCAAACGGAAACTTGTGATATTTGTATCACCATGCTGAAACGGTTCCAAGTCCATAGTTTGAAAGTCTAAATTTCCAACGATATATCTGTAATCACCAGTCATCAAACCAACTTGTTGTGCCTGCGTATAAAAATAAAAACAAAAACAAAATGCAAGTACTGTGCAATTCAAGGATGGTTTAAATAATAACTGACACTAAATACAAGCAATTTCCGATGAGTTTACCTGTTTGAATAATTCAGGGAGTGTGTCCACTGCACCAACAACCACGAATGAAGTTTCACCAGAATACTTGATGCGACGCAATACATTTCGATAATCGCCATTGAGGTCAAGCTCATACCGACGCACTGTGACTGTTGGTCCGGAAGTACCATACATTTGCAACAGTTCCTTAACGGTCGCGAGGAACTCGCCTATAAATAAACAAAAAAACGTGAAACCAGCGAAACGGAAAGCGGAAACACATTTATAACAGCAACAAATGTGATTTAAATATTTAACACAATGGCTTGGCAGGCATGCAGGCAGAGAGACATACACAAACCGACACACACACACACCCGTTTCGTATATGATGGTAAAGCTAGTCCATTCCAAACCAACTACTAAATCCTTTAGTGCGATTGCCAACTGTGACGGATCCGGATGCAGGTTGATGGTGGGCAGTTGTGCATTGAAATCCCAGCGGGTGTCTATGAATGGCAATTCTTTCGCATCACAAATGCTCATGGCATGTTTGGCTGCAAATGTGGTTGTTGGTCCGACAACGGCAACAAGATTATGCTGGAGAAGTGAACAAATACGCATAAAAAATTTTAATATAATTTATTTTCGTTATTGTATTTATTTATTTACGTGTTACATGTCATCTGCAATATGCATGTATGTATGTATGTATGTATGTATGTATGCATGTATGTATGAAGAGTATTTTTATGCAAGAAACATGCATTTTGTGGTGTTCAGTTGTGGCAAAGCTTACCTTTAACATTTTACATAGCTTTTTCGATGTGTCAAATGCATTACCCGGTTCTATACTTGTCGTAACGCCATGCAACTTCAAGTCCTCATTATTCTCGTTGGCCTTCTCGACGGCTAAGTGAAAAACTTTCTCCAAATCCTTTAGTGTGTGCTCAAAGACAAGTCCTGCAAAAAGCGCAAAATGGTTTTATTTATTATGCAAAAACGACTTTCGTTGTCGTTTTTCTGTTTATCTTAATTTGCATAAAAAACATGTAACAAAACAATAGTTTTTCCTTACATGCAAATGTCTCCATGTATCTACACTGTATATATATATATATGTTGTATATTTATTTTTATGTGTTGTATTTTATGTATTTTCATATTTGTTTGTACAGATTTGCAAATATTTGCTACTCCCTCTTAAATGCAAATATCTTGTTGACAAAAAACTCAACTGCAAAAATGTAATTTTTTCTTATTTATTTATTCAAAAATATTCACACATATTTCCAGTGCTTACTGCGTTGAGCACTAACCTAAAATATGTTTTAGATAAAATACACAAAATATAAATTTACACTTCAAAGTGATTTTCACTTGTCGTTGCTGCCTTTGCTGGCTTTGCTTTATGCAAATCACACAGCACTGTTGTTTCGCTGTAGTTTCACTGTTAAAAGCGCCTTTGCTGTTAAAACAACAGAGCCACCCTTCGCTTTCACTTTACAGACGCGCCATTCAGTAGATTTAAGCACTGCAAATGCATTATGCATAATTGTTTCACTTTCAGTACTAAAAAACTATAGAAAGTTTATTCCAGCATAATTATTTTATAATAATATTACACAATATTAAAATGAAACGTTGATTATAGTAGCGGCTCAGAATTAATTTTACTAATTACTGTTAGTTAAAATGTAGATAATGTTATAGCAATCTCAGAAGGGATTGTTGCTTACTTACTCTACTCAATTTTCTATTTGAATTAAATTTACATGAACTTAAATTTAGTTTAAAAACTAAATTTAATATAGTTTAATTGAAGGGATTGTGTCTCAGAAGAAATTATTGCTTACTTATTGTACACAATTTTCTATTTAAATATAATTTAATATATATATTAAGTAAGTAAGTACCAGTAAGTAAGTAAGTAAGGTAAGTAAGATTTTTTATTTACTATTATTAAAATATAATATATTATTAATAAATTGGTATTACGACCGATATAAAAAATATATTAACAATTTTAACATTTAACTTATTTTTGCTAAATTATTTCATATATATTTTTTTTATTTGCGTTTATATTTATACATTTTTATATGCAGTTAAATTTATTGAGAGATAAAGGAATTTTATCTTACTAGAACTGCATAAACAATTATATTTCTTTTTCAATATTGTATTATATTTTTGTTGAAATTTAAAAATTTGCATTTTAATAATGTGTATCTTGAGAACTATAGATTATTTAAGACAATAACTGTTAAGTTGTCTGTCTTAATTAAGTTTAAATGCGATTCGAACAATGTATAAAATAATGAGTATGTGTAACCTCAACCTCGTTTTTACAATATTTATTAAATTGAATTTAATTTAATAATAATAATGATATTAGTATTAATTATCTAATTAATCTAATTATTATTAGATTTCGAGCAGCCTCTTATGCTGGACATAGGCTGTCTATAAGTCGCTACCACCTTTCGCACCGCAACACTACGTTCTTTATAACAGTAATATTGCTTATTCTTCTTCCTAGGGGCTGCAAAACCGTATTTATTTCATTTAACGTTCACCTTTTCCATATTTGAACGACATGTTCCTCTGCTACCTTGTGGGTTGTATATAAACGCCTGCTAACAAATTTCATAATGAGGCTTTCTAAGCATTTGCCCGATCTATCCAAATTTAATTTAATAGAAATATTAATTAATTACGTTTCATTGAAGTGATTGTTTCTCAGAAGGGATTATTACTTACTTACTCTAACCAATTTTTAATATATTAATTAAATAAAATACACATTTAAATTAATTTATACTATTATATTTGATTGTTAAAGTCAATTATTATGTTTTTTAATATATTATTAAATATTGTTTCAATAGAAGGATATTGTGAACAATAGTGAATTACAACAATAAAGTTGTATTATTAACTAATAATAAATTTATATATTGTCAAATACCCATCATCAATGGTCTTTTGGATATATGTATCTTGTATTTAATTATTTGTTAATAATTTTTTGAGACTACAAATATTACTAACTCCTTTTTTCTTAAGTTATATGCCCAAAAATAAAACGATAAAAGAAAATAATTCTTACATGGATCGATGATAATTTTTTTTAGAAAAACTTTCAATTGCCAAAGAACTTTAAATAATATTCACTATTCCAATTTCGGATAATTTCATTATAACACGGAATAGAGAGTAAAACTTTCCGAAGGGTTGAATAGATTCTCTGTTGAACATGAACAAGTTAAAAGTATTCATTACTTATTATTCAAAGATATTTCCAAATGAACGAAAAAAATTTTATTTTAATTTTCATGTATGAACATATTTTCTATTCAATTTTCCAAACAATATTAGTTAATAAACACATTTAACAAAAACCATTTAGTTATCATATAATGTAGAAAATAATCACTTAGATCATTTTTTTGGGATCATCTAATGGATCAAAAAATTCATGTTTCGTATTCTTCTGGATATACAAACGATATCGGAGTGTGTCATCTAGAATCCGAACTCACGTTTTTGCCGGCTTATATTTTAAAGTCAACCCAGTACATATTACTTTTCATAATCATCACTATATTGATTTGTAAAAACGATTAATTAATTAATTTAAATATTTTTAACGAGAATATTATAGCACAATAATATATAGCACAATAATATATAAATGCAACTAAATTTAATATTTGTCACTTGAGTATGAGATTTACTCTATTTATTTTGAATATTTGTCTTTAACGTGATCGGACCGGAAATACAAATGTATAATGTCTTATAATGTATTTACAGAACACAAAAAAAAATTGTTTTAGAATTTTATTATTTTTTTTTATTTAGATTATTTGTTTACTTTTTTTTTCACAATTTGCCATCGCTGTTTTATATTTACGTATCTCTTAGTAAAGCAGAAGATCGGCTAAAGATCGAAATATTCGTTAATGCAAAAATAAATCTGTTTTCCCTTAGAATTTTTGGCAGAACATGTGCATGTAATTTTTTTTTTTTCGCTGGCCTAATTTATTGAAGAACAACAAACAAAGAAAAATAATTGCATTCGGCCTGCATTCCAACATTGGCGTAGATAGAATTTAGAAGGGTCTCAGATACAGAAATTATTTTATATAACATTAAAAGCATTTTAAAATAAAATTTTTTAAGAAATATTTTTAATATTATTTATTTTATAATATTTAATAATTTTAAATTCTAATGTTTTTTTTTAAAATATTATTTCTGCATTAGAAATCCACTTTTACTTGCTTACCAACATTGGTTCTCTCTATTGCATTGGACTTGCCATTGTTTTTTTCTGCTGCACCATTGGTAATTAAATAACAAGCGAAAAACACCACAAGTAGAAGAGTTTGTAACTTTAATATTTTTAAAAACATTATTTTATCTTACACTCGTAATTATTATTTTTAATTATAATTAATGAGTAACGTATGAAAATTTTGAAGTTATTTTTTATTACATATTTCTCTTTTCACATAAATTTTATAATTGAAAATTTTAAGATTTTCTTCAATGAAATCTCGCCAGCAACTGAAATGCACTCAATATTTCGCAAAAATGCACACAAGACAATCCAACGCAATTGTCATTTGAAAAAAAAAACTATATTTTCATTTCATCTTATTTATAGATATTCAAATAAATTGCAGTTCGAACAACTGCAAATTGTTGAAAGATGCATTGACTGCATTCGAATTGCAGCGAATCTCAGGCGCAAACCAATTGAAGGCTCATATGAAAATAATATTTTAATATAATTTTTTTTTAAATATTTATTTTAAATTAATAAATTTAAAATATTTAATATAATAATTATATAATAAAATAATTTACATAAAGAGGTTTTCGAACAGAAGTGAAACAACAACAAAAATTTATTTTTTAAATTATTTTAATTAATTAAATTTTTGGCTGACCATACAGCTGTTTCGGGTATTGCCAAATACCCTTCATCAGTGGTCTTGGAAATAATTCTTATATTTAATTATTCGTAAATAATTATTTTTGAGACTGCAAGTACCAGGAATCGAACTCGAGTCCTGCCAAATATGAAGATCAGAATCAGGGCACCTTAACCAACTGAACCAAAGCCGTACTTAACTTTTTATGTTCGCATATTTTTGCTGGAGTTTTGTTACTTTTGCTATGAAAGTTTTTATTAACAATTTTACTCGCTGTATTTATATATTAGAACGAAACTCCTTTTGTAATAAAAAAAGTCAATAATAAAATTTTCTTCTTTATTATAAAACTCAAACTATATTATTTCTGCATATTTCCCTCCACTCGCAGACATAAATCACTTTTTAAGGATGTCTAACTAGCTATGGTTTCTCAAGCTTAAGTTTCGTCGGTTAAGAAGACACGTTGATTAATTGCAGGTCAAATCAAGCACAGATGCATTGTCGTCATATTAAAGGACAGCTTAACTGCAGTTAAAGCCTTTAAATCCTCTACTATAAACTCAAATCCAGTTAATAAGTGCTGTGCGGAAAGTGAAGATCTTTACTAACTCGCTAATATCATTTTCATTTGAGTACCCGAACATAGAAACATTAAAGGCAATAAAAAAACAAACAGTTTAACTCACCATTATGCTTTCGTGGATTCATAAGCGATCGAAACTTCAATGTGGATCTTTAAAAGAAATAATTACTTTTATTTTCTTTAGCAAGCGGCCAATTTGGCCATCTTATAATAGGACTAGACCATGAGAACTAATTAACAGTATTCGCATGAAAACTACAATTCCTGACAGTGAGATTTTCTGATTTTCTGAATGTAGTAGTAAAATTTTAAAAATTTCTAATATTTGAAAATTGAAGGACATATGTTAACCTGTCACTCCAACAAACTAGCTGCTATAACCAATACTTAAGTTATAACGACAATTTCAGCGATTCACTGAAGCGAAATTTTATTGTTGTTAGTTGGATTTAAAATCAATAAAATGGAATGGAATTAAAACTCAAATTTCAGTGGCCTATCAGCAAACCCATTATAGGAGTGATGACTTCTTTTGTATCTCAATAAGATTACTAGAACTTTTTGTTTAAGAGACACTGACTTTTTTATAGATACCTACATATCGATTATTTTCTCCCATCTTAAAAAAAGCTGTTTAATGCAAAAAAATGTTTACTATTCTTTGTAAGATGATGGTTAGCTTATATTAGGCAAGAAAGTCTACTTAGCTCAAATACTGGCCTATTGTGGTACCATAGGATTGGCGTTTGTTCATATTTAGATTAAAGGTCAAGATATGACCAATGCCGAAGATATAAAATGATGGAGATATGCCCAAATGTTTTTGATGTTATGTTAAGTTTCTAAAGCATCACATGTGGCTTTCTTATCTGCCTTACAATTACTTTTGAAAACCTTGTGATCAGAAATATAAAAATGAAAAAAACGTTTTGTAATTTAAGCTAAACTCACGCCGTATAAAACGTCTTCACTATCTCTGCAATATTCTAATACAATACTATTTTACACTTGCTTCTATATAGCTATATTGTGTATAATGTATAAAAAAAGTTTTATTATAAAAAATAGTAGAAATAATATTATTGTAGCACATCTGCAATGTATATGGTGTGACATAAATTTCATATTTTAATACCAATTAAATACCAACTTTTACGCGTGTTCCAGATTTTGAAGAGTGCCAACCCCGCTTTAAACTGTACACATAATTCGGAGATTATGGCACTAAAAATCGGAAATTCTAGCATAACAATAACGTGTAAACTTTTGATGTAGCAAAACCAGCAAAGAATATCCAAGTTTAGCATGGAAAAACGTGCACTGCATTAATTGGCACTACAAACTTGCCAAATTGGCTTTTCAATTCAATTGGCACAGCTACCGAACGTGCATCCAGTCAACAACAAATTGTGGGGTACGAAGCGTGGATACGGATGTACAAAGCGTATGCAACAATTTATACAATCCGAACAACAGCCAAACAGATAAACAGCAAAAAGGACGAAAAAATTATTCCATCCGCTAAACCGAATACTCGTGTTGCAGCGATTTGAGAATGGTTCCTCCATGGAACTTTTTACGAAACTAGCAACGGCGCCACAACAATTCATAATCACGAGCTGGAGAGCTGTGCAGCAGAAGCCATGTCAGTGTAGGTTTGCATTGGCAAGAAGAGATAACAGATATTCACACTGGCACACATCAACAAGTACTGAATGTTCACACGATGTAAGTAGAGCAACAGAGTTTCGGAAAAAAAAATTAAAATTAAATAAAAAGTTATTTTTAATAATGATTGTTAGAGGAATGTTTTTATTTGTTGCCTTTCAGTTGGAAACCCTTTGAGCATTAAGGTTTACATATATTTTAAAAATAAAATATTTTTAATTTATGTGTTTTTGTAGTACAAAAAAACCTTAATAAAATAATTAATAATTACCACTATTGTTGTTGCCACAGACTGTGCTGCTCATAAGAGTTTTTAATTACTGGAGTACAAGGTGTAGAAATTCTACAAGGTATGACTATGTCAAGTCTGACTTGATATCAACTATAGACTAACAACAAGCGACTAACATTAAAGTATGTCCATATTTAAAAAAACACAAATAAGAAATTGTCGAAAATATCAGAATGAAGACGAGGCTGTGTCATGGATCGATATATGATCTCGAAAAGAAAAAATTTCGAAAAAAAGTTAAATAAGCCAGGCCTGACTGCAAGCTAACGTAGAAAATTATTAATGGATAACAACTTAGGGACTGCACCCATTCTCAATAAAATTACCGAGTAGAAATGATGTGGCAAACGAAGGGGTTTGTATTGCCCATGCAATTCAGGCATATCACTATTGTGCTGCAACAATTAATTTTGGAGAAAACATATAAATGAAGGGTTTAAAACAGGAAAGAGGTACGGTATCTATTAAAAGTATATCTAGACTCGACAGTCTCCATTTTAGCATTTTACAAACTGAAGGTAACACAATTAAACCTTCAAGTGCTACTATCTTTGTAAACAGTCCGGCTGCAATAAAGTAATGGAGTCTAAAAACTTAATCAAGGATTGTAAAGAAAAGTCGAACGCAGATAAAAACAAGGACAATATTTCAATGAAGGTGTCGATGTGGGAACTGCAGAAATAAACTGAATCCACTCTTGTGACTTTTGGACTAATCATTAAGAGTGTATGATCAAAATAAAATATCTTTTGGATTTCCACAAGTATGCAGTTCATATGATTACTGGAATATTCATGGAACATTACACTATTGTATTATGCTTCAAATAAATGAAGAGCACGTATAATCCATTAATATGTCTTTGTCCAGAATAAAGACGAAGGGACTTTAAAGTTTCGGATATCGTTGTTACTGATTTCGACAAAGATAACGGAGGTAAAGTTGTTAAATCTCATTTTAAGTACTACTAAATGACTCATAAACTATATCAATGTCAAGTTAAACGATAGAGGCATTTTTTAAATTTTTGGTGATATTAAATAAACTTAGAATTATTTAAAAATTTTATTATATTAAATTCATCATTTGATTGAAATAAAGAAAGGGCAAATAACTGAAATACTTTACTCCAGTGCTATTATTAACACTTTAACGTACTTAAATAAGTATTTACTGCATACGAGTACTTATAAATTCTTGAGCATCAGCTTAAAAAGTTCAAAGGGACAAAAAGATACATAGAGAATACAGTCAAGTACATAGCACTTCCACGTACTGGTAGTGCTACTAAAACTACAAAGAATTTTTTATTCTCTTTACGATGAAAATTCAGAAAATCACCTTTTGTGTTTTAGCATCCTTTTGAGATATTACGTGTTGAAACAACAACAATCAGTGATACTTGAAATCTCTAAACGAATGTATCTCGTACAAAATCGAGAACTTGAATATGGTATAAAAGAGTCACAAGTGCACATCACACATATGCACATATGGACATAATGCAATAGAATGCATGCAAATGAAACATGCAACAAATTGCTTTCGGAGATACAATGGTAGGTGCACAAAAAATGCAAATTCCTTTGACAACAGGCAATACAGTGCATGTAGCATTGAAATGCAAAATCGCCTTAGAGAATGCTTTTATATTCAAATTTATTCCTTTATTTTTCCATTTCGTTCATTTTTAACATTTGAATTTGTGCTACTTTCGATTTTTTATCTGAAGGTACCGTTCAAATATTGATGCGAGCAAATTGTCTTTATTCAACAGCCTCAGAAATCCAAGGTTGAATGCATTCAGAATTTATCATGCATTTAAAATCCAATCAGTGTTGCTAGGAGTCTTAATTAGTAAAGCCAATACTATTGAGGTTTACCTTGGGGTTTTGGATTTTCAGTTGATGATTACAAGTAATGAAGTGTACTTTTCCATTCCTTATAACAAAAGGTAAACAAA